CCTCACACACAAACTGACACAGCATCTGTCATCTTCTCTTCCTGCTTACAGAAGGATAAGACACAGCCCTCTATTGTACCTCCACGCCTGATTTCCTCTTCTCCGCGTTATCTGTGATGTTGAGCAGGTCTCCGAAGCGTTCATTGGTGATGAACTGGTGGTGCGTCGGGACAATGCCCGTGTGCCGCCTCGACGCCGTGTCGGCTTCTTCCTGTTCCCGCTTCAGCCGCCGCTGCTCCTCCAGGATTTTCTGCAAGCAGGAAACCAGACTGAACTGCTTGTCCCCTCCAGATATGGGTCTCCTCTCCTCGTTTATTCATGTGACACAGTCTTTGTGATGTATAATATATGATTTCCTCATTCATAACACAGCTCTCTACACATAAATACTGACAGTGAGGTGTAATTAATGAAAGTTTGGCTTAATTGATGAGGAAATTCACCTCTTTGTCTCCGTGACGCCTCCGCAACACTTCATCCTGGCTCTCCCCGTGAGCTGGGGACGAGTCTGGAACGGAAACAGAAAGAGGATTACACTGTGAAGCAATGTCCTCGTCAACCTCAAGGCAGATCACACTAATGAACGAAAATTTGCAATAATAATAATAATAAGATGATGATATTGCAGTCAATTCCTTAATCCTCCTCCTCCAGTGAACACAATTATAATATATACGATAACTACTGTACAACCACGCATGCTTTAAATGAACACCAGAATCTCTGCAACACTAAAACAAAATGCACACACACACACACACACACGCACACACACACACATATCAAAAAAGCCAAATGTAAATCCTGCATGCACATAGGAATGAACACAGAATGACCCAATGTGTGTTCATGAAAAAAGCAAAACAATGCAGGACGGAAAAATATGAAATCTACTGTATTTTGGCCAGAAGAAAATAAACATGACGTCATGGTTTTACTGATCAACCAACCAGCATCCATTAGTTTACTGAAGTTTCATCTTATTAGCTGTTATTTAAGTTGGCTTCCCACACCACCGTAGATGGTGAGAAACAGCTGTCAATGTTTCAGGTTTGTTGTGTCTGATGCTCCGAGTTCTGGCTGTTATGTTAAAAGACATCAAAACAGGAAACATCCCGTTTGACTAAAACAAACCTTTCATGGTCAGAGGATGAAAGATGGCAGATGTGAACAGTCCCCATAAAAGCAGAGAAAAATAAAATAAAATAGAAATACAGACATGGTGAGGCATCAATTTGAGAGAGCGTATGCAATGTTGTATCATAATATCCTGCTTAAACATTACAGATGAATGCTGGGATTGTAGTTTAAGGGAAGGCTTGCAGGGTCAAGATTTGATATGAAACACAGAGTACAGTCTGAATCAGTGTAATGCTTACGCAGGCTCTTGCACTCTCTTGCATACAACTCAAATCTGATGTCACGAGGAGATATATACGTTACCAAAGGCTGCCTGAACCTCCTACAGTGAGGTGTTTTGAAATGGAAGAGCACCAAACAGCACACTCAGAATGAGATGGAGGCTTCCCTGTCACTTTGTAAACACAGCACACAGACTAGAGATGGAGGGTGGCGGCGTCGCTTTGTGGAAGAAAAGGGACACGAGGTGAAGAGAGAGTCGGGATAAATGAGGAGAGAGGAGGGTGACAGTGGTGAAGGGATGGAGATAGCCACCTCTGCGGTGAGCTGCCAGCGGCTGCAGTAGGTTCCCGTTGGCGTCCAAGCCCTGCCCGTTACTCAGGTGGTCAGTGTTGCCTCCTTCTCCGTTACCCAGCCTCTCCAAGACCTCCAGGGAGGACAGGCGCTGAGGGATGAGAGGTCTGAGCTCAGGGGACAGGCTGCTGGGCCTCTGGGTGCCCATCGTCACCTTGGTGGCTAACAGGGTTCTCCGAGTCTGGTGGGGCTGCAGGTTCCTCCGTGGCCTGAAGGGAGCGGGGCCCATGAGGAAGAGGTTTCCAGGCAGGGTGGTCTTCTTCTCTAGAGGTGGGGGCTTCTCCTGTTGGGTCGTGGCTTGCTGCCTCTCGTGCCTGAGGATGGTGGTGAAGCGCGTGTAGGAGGCTGGGCAGGAGCCTTTGCATTTGCTGGGTTTGAGGAGGAGCTGGTGGTTGAGGTGGTGCAGGAGGTGGTGGTGGTGGTGGTGGAGATGGTTGTGCTGCGGGGGGGATGCTGTAATCAGGGCTACGGGACTCTTTGATGCACTGACATTTTGGTGGATCAGTTCCGGGGAACTTTTACTGAAGATCTGCTCGACCTCGGCCTCAGTGTTGGAGGGAGACTCAGTCCTGATGTTGTATCCGTCCTCTGAGGAGGAAGCGGCCTCCTCCACCGTCACACTGCTCGGTGACAAGGCCTCCTCCCCAGAGCTCTTGTCCTCTGCCTCCACTGGGGAGCAGGCATCTGTCTGGGTGGCATCGGCCACCAGCAGGGACTCTGCTGACACCGCAGACGCCATGTAGAGGTGGGCGGGCGTGTGGTCGGGGCTATGGCTGTGGCTGGAGTGCAGGGTGGGCAGGGAGGAGGAGCGGCTGGGTGCCGAGCCGGTCCGCTGGATGATCATTTCAAACTCGCTGACCCGCGACGACACCGCGTCCCGTGGAATGTTACCTCCGTCATCCCCCTCTGACCTTTCACCCCCGCCGGCCTTTGCCCTCTCAAAAAGGGAGGCCAGGCTCCGGACGCTGCCGTGGGGGCTGCAGCCGGCTGAGCTGGGCCTCTGGATGTGATGCATGCTCCTGTACAGGCTGGAAAACTCAGACGCGCTCCTCCTAATTGCAGGGGAAACATTCCTGAGGCCGTCCGCACACTCGCTGCCACAGCTGGACTTAGAGTCTGAATATTGCCCGCTCTCGCTTTCCTCTGCCCCAAAGTCCATGTGACATGGCCCTGTGTACAGATCCTCACAGCTGTGGGCCTTTGGGTGCCTGGCAGCTTTAGTCCTGCTCTCCTGACTGTCACCACTGGGTGGCAGCAGCTTGGGCTTGAACTTGGAAGGCAGGATTTGGGGTATGCAGGCTTTGGCAGCAGAAAGAGGCTTCTTACTCTTACACTGGTTACCTATTGCATTACTGGCAAGAACCGATCGACTATTTACAGAGGAGCAGGGTGAAATTATATAGCCATTCCCACCTTTATAATCCACTGGCAAGCATGCAGGACAACAGAATAAACAACATATTAGATTACAATGGTCACAGGTTCACACACATACACACTAAAACAGGCACATTTCTAGAGTAAAGACCAGGTTCTATCAGAAGTAGATGAGAAGAGGAAGCAGACTTGATGCAGTAAAACATCAAGTAACAGATGACGGTTATACTAACAGCATGGTACTGCAGTGAAGAAGTATGCTCTGTAAAAATGGAACATTTTACCGTCTAACAGATTACTGCATTATTATTATTATTATTATTAATATTATCATCACTGTAAACAGCAACACAACAAGTGAAACTTAAAGTTTTAAAACAGCAATATGCCATGAAATGTTATGTAATGTTGGCCGTCCTCTAGGAAGTCTTACCACTAACATGTTTTTCCTGTTTTTTTATAGTCATGTTAGGGCTGAAACTTTTCTACCATATGACTGCTGCATGTCCCTTTCACCCTGCTGCATACAGCGTATTCTCCTCCTCCTCCACTTTTAGCAATTAGACAGGCAGCTGCAGTGATATATGGCCTCTGGCACCACTGTTAATACATACATTGCTCCGCTACACGGTTGTAAATAAAAAAGTGTATCCTGGCTCAACCTGACCAGTAAAATACGTCTTGTCAAAAACCTTGTAAATACTGGTTGTCAGGTCCTGGCTGTAGCAGTAGGCCTGTGATAGCGCTACAGATGGAGCCGGGAAATGACACAACACTTTCACATGCTGAGAAACGCTTCTGTAGCATGAGTGACCCATCTGTCACAGTCGTATCTGCCAGAAAAGCAAACACACTGAGGAAGTCGACGAGATATTTTATCCATGGCATGTGGCGGGTGAAGAGTTACAATTCCAGCCACTAAAAAGCCCCGAAGCGGGTTCAGCGCTTTAAAGACACAAAGATTAATACAGATATTTTTATTTCACGAGCACAAGACAGAAACTCATGACGCAGTGTTTGGTTCCTAGCACTCTGCCGTTCCTTTGGTCTCGTCTACACTTTACCTTGTGTGTAGTGAACTGTAAGTGACTCTAATGATCAAGGTGGTGCCTCTGGCAGGAGGCTAATGAAAGAGCGTGCTAGTCAGTTGACTGGAGTGCCAAATCCATTTACTGTGTCTTTCCATAGTTCGACTGGATAAAAGCTAAAATAACAGCAACCCTGATTGTATCTGTGTCCCAGGACTGCTGACATTAAAATACTCATATTTAGTCAATATGGTAGTTATTATTGTGGAAACAGTCTCTAAAGTGACGTCTGCTGTGTGTCTTTCCAGATGTAATGTAATGACATGTATTGGGTCACACTGTCCCTTCCTTTCTCTTCCTTACATCTCCCCTCCTCTCCTCCTCCGGCGTTTCTCTCCCCGGCCATGTGCGCAGGCATTCCAGCCCCTGACCTCACACTGACAGCTGACTTCCTCATGCCTGCCCACCCTCTGTGTCCCTCCTGTTTATCTCACCCATGTCTGGCCAGGTTGAGAAAAGCAGAGCTCTGTTTATCGTCCCTCCTCATCCATCCCCACTCTGGCCCTCCGCTCCCTGGCGCTGGAACGCTCTGGAGACTTGCCCTAAGCCTGCCTAGCGACTGGCGGCTCACAACTGGAGCAAGAGTAGGGGGGAAAGTCCCCAAGGTTAGCTTCCATCGACTTAGCAAGACAACCTCACTCCCTCCATGAGTTTTCCAAAGCAGATGGCCAGTACATGTTTGATGAAAACATCCATGGCATCAATAATAAATCAAAAAGCTGCTGAGGGGATGAATGCTGCGAGGTGATTGGCCAATGCTGTGAGGTCTGGGAGCAAAGAAAATGTGTGGATTCCAACAGAAAGGTAAACGGAAACACATGTATCCCTGTCTGACAAATCCAACGGTCCAACATCAGCGTCTGTAACTCATCGGTTCTGTCTCAGCAGGAAAGGCCTTTAATGGCCCTCCGTCCTGTCCAGCCCCACATCCACATACACAAACATACACACACCTTTCATTTTACTGGCCACATATGTAGAGTGGCTGCCATCCTACCTTTAGAGGAGGAAGAGCTGCCATGGCGCTTGTTTAGAGCCCGCAGACCTTGTAAGGGAATGTCGCCGCCCTCCAGGACGGCCTTGTAAACATGGCGGTCGCATTCTGGAGCCGCAGGCTCGCTCGTGGATGATTCTCTGTCCTTCTCCACCTCGCTGTGTCCAGACTTGCTCGAGGAGCTAGACAGCGGTGAGAGGAACGCAGACAGCTAATTAAACACAGTCAAATTCACTCAGAGGAGTTGTGTTACATGTTTTTATGATAAACAGAGGCACACAAATTGGGTAATGAGCTGTCATATGGTTTTTATTTAGCATATCTTGAGGTAATTCCTTTCTTCGCAGACTTGTGGGAGACAAAATAATCAGAGACAGAAAAAGTCAAACTTGAGAAAGAAACTGCAGAATTTGAAGGCTGATGTTGAGAGGAGCCTCTGGCTTCCACACATATCTTGGCGTTGCAGAGAGGCCAACAGAACGGATTTCTATAAATATTCTCAGAACATTCCTGCATGGTGCATCAACGTCTGCCATGCACCTGTACAACTCTCAGGTTTACTCTCTGTCACCCTGCTCATGTGTTACTCACGCTGCTCCTCTATTTGCACAGACAAACATGGTCATTAAACTGACAGACTCCATTATCTTATAGGGCAAATATAAAAACCCGCACAAACTGCGTTCACTGGGTTATTTTCCAAAATGTGTTTTACATCTGCACCGTTGCCAAGTCAGAGTTTTACAAGCTTTGCACAAATGTATGGCTACATTACTCTCCCTGTTCCCTACCTCAACAAGAAGCTCTTTCATAGCTGTGAGAAAAAAAAAAAAATATGTGCACTGCTGACTGCAGAGAGTCATTAAAATCATGTTGGGACTAGGTTTCGTACAAGAATTCACATAAATGCTCTACAGGAAATGTAGAGCACAGGAGCCATGCAAGATTTAAGAGGAGTCTCCTGGGGGAGTGCGGCAGTCAGCACGCTGCTTACTGCACGTTAACTGTAATGTTTATCTGGAGTGATGAGGAGGTCTTTGAGATGAAAGTTTGCATTACTGAATTCACTGATTGCTGCAAGTGAATTATGATGACGGCTTCTTTAGTGAGGTTAAACATCTTCCATAGACTTCCATAGCTTTTTCTGGCATTTTCTAACTGTCATGCACACGCAGTGGGCGTCTAATCAACATGCACATCTACTTAGAGGTTCATTCATTCACCTAATGACGCTGCACAGGCACATGTGGTTTTTGCATTTTCCAAATATCATTTTGACGACCAAATGTCTCCAATTTCAAACAGACCCCAGAGAAAAAAAAACAAACATCCTGCCCTAAACATATGTTCCTCTGAAGGAAGTCAGTTTATGACTTGAGTTTTCCTTTGAAAAGTCTGAGTGAACCTCCACCACTACTTCATCAGGAACCCCCTTTCCATTCAAAATTAACAACAAAGCCATTGATTAAAAAGTTTGGATTGGGAATCTCTTTTCAAATACTTGGCCATGATGACATAATGATTGTAGCAGATGGAAAGAAATGGAGAGAGACGTTTATTTTCCCTGGACTGCAGCGCGAGACAGTCAGCGAGCGGCTCAGACCTAAATTCCTTACATTTTACTACACAGAAAAAAATAATAGAAGAGGTCAGTCTCAGAAGACAAAAACAAAGAGTGATGAAGAGCTTGGTGAGATTTGTCTCTCTGTCATGAGTGAGCATCATCCGTCATTATCCAGCTGCTGCTCTTCGCTCCGTTCACACACCCATTCAGAAGTAGATAACGGTTTTTAAGTTATGCAGCAGCTGGGCGAGTTCCCTCTATCCCAGTGACATCCAGGTTGCTGTCTTTAAATAAATCACCACATAGCAGCCATGTCTCCACACTACAACCCCCCCTAAAAAACACCATGAAACACACACAGAGGACACACTGTTCTGGTAGCTTTTTGCCTTATTAACAGGATCTCCTCAGGAAGCAGGAGTCTCCCTGCTGTAGGCGGTCGAGCTCGACAGGGTGGAGAAATCTCTCACTGACATTTATCCTCATAACATGGCTTAAATAATCATCTACATACTGGAAGAAGGAAGCGAGATTTAAAGCACAAGTATCCAAATAGGAAGGAGAAGCATGGACTTACTACTGCTGCAGGTCAGAGGCTGTTTCCAGGGGGCTGAAAGAGGGGGCACTCTGCAACAAACCAAACAAAGAAGTCATTGATAGATCCACAGGAAGGTCTCCTCCAGCTAGAACAGAGGCAGGAGCATTAGCTATGGCCAGATTCTCTCTTCTCTTCCTCTCTGCCGTTCACTCGCTGCTCTGGGTTTCTGCCTCGAGCACCCGGGGTTCTTAGCCTCTCTGGACTGGTCTTGGCATGGAGGGAGTAAGCGTGTGTTTTGGCCTGCATGCAAGTTGGAGAAAACAAGCGGCAGTGAGGAGAGAGGGGGGCGGGGCTAATGCTCCTGCCTCTGTTCTAGCTGGAGGAGACCTTCCTGTGGATCTATCAATGACTTCTTTGTTTGGTTTGTTGCAGAGTGCCCCCTCTTTCAGCCCCCTGGGAAACAGCCTCTGACCTGCAGCA